CTATTTACAAAGTCACTGATGTCCAGTAGAATGCCACTCTGAAGAAAGAGTCCTCAGCTGAAACGCTCACATACTTTGCCAAGAAAAATAAAAGGAAGCCTCAGAGGCTGCAGCATTAAAAAGTTCCCTAGCTGACGTCTTCGCCAGCTCGCGTGGCGGTGGATGAAGTTCTGCTTACGACGTCACCTTGTGCAGAAAGGATAAAGTCAGGACGGTGAAGCGGCCTGTTTTACTGTGTCGGGGCGTGCTTGTAAATGTCTAGGAGCTTGATAGAACATTACTACCTGATCCAAAGGAATCACTAGATATTCTGACCTTGAATCACGACCACTTGCCTCGACATCAATTCTACAAGGAAATTTGGCGATCACGAACCTCTATCCGTAATACTTTTGTAGGTAAGCTCTCCACCTCAGCCACCGCTATAACCATTCCACTGCGACCGCTGCTCTGCAACCACTGGGACAAAGTTGCTCTCAGGGCATCCTTCTCTGCACTACGACCACCACGAACCAATCAGTAAAGCGGCGAGCAGCTTGGAAAGACCTGTTTTTCTGGTTGCCCCGCCTCTATTTCCCCCCTAGTAGTGAATAGCAAGAGTGCAGCTCTCGCTCCTGCTCTAGACTGTGCCTCGTCTGCTCAGTTTCCCTACCCAATTCTGGTAGGCGGTCTCTTCAGGTTGCCCCCCCCCCTTGTCCCCAAAGTGTCCACCTCAGCAATTCGGGGCCCGCCCACAACTTTCTTGTGACAGCGTCGCCCGGCGATACTTGTCTCCTTTCCCCCTCCCCCATTCTCCTGCCTCCGTCTCTTTCCCTCTCCCATTCCATTCCAAACTACTTCTCTTCAACTCTTCTAACCCCCGACCTCCGTCTCCTTCTCCATTCAACGTCTCTTTTCCTGTAAGCTTGCTCTTCCACCTACTGATTACTACATCTTTCGTCTCTCTTCTTTAATAGCTCTTCGTCTTTTCTTCTTTGATTCTTGGCCGCTAATCCCGTTTCTGGACAGCTTTCCCATACACACACCGTAATCCACAGCCATGGAGGGTACGTCGCATCATACCGCGTCGCTGCATCGTCGGATCCAAACAATCCGTTTTGAGCATCGCGAAGATCATCTCCAGACTCATGCTGACTTGTATTTCGCTTTATAGAAGAAGTTGCTGCTCTCGTCATCGACAATGGGTAAGCTCCCCCCGCCTGTCTCACCGACCTCTGGACTATCTCTCGCCGCCTCTCTGTTCCTGGACCAGATCTGCCACCGCATCGTCCGATGCCCGACACCGGCCTCGACATTGATGTTTGGGAGTGTTTGGTCTTTGAATTGGTGCAGAGCGATCTCAGCATGTCCATTATAGCTAACTTGATATCAGTTCGGGTATGTGCAAGGCCGGTTTCGCCGGTGATGATGCTCCCCGAGCTGTTTTCCGTGAGTACCCCACTTTCTAGCCTCTGCGCCCAAAGAGTTGATATCGCATGTCCTGGGCGCAAGTTAATCAGAACCCAAATTCTAACATTTTAAACAGCTTCCATTGTCGGTCGCCCCCGTCATCATGGGTAAGTTGGAGCTACAGCGGCAATTCTGCTGCCTCCTTGGTGGCTGGCCACTGACAAGTTTTCAGTATCATGATCGGTATGGGTCAGAAGGACTCGTATGTTGGTGATGAGGCTCAGTCCAAGCGTGGTATCCTCACTCTGCGATACCCCATTGAGCACGGTGTTGTCACCAACTGGGACGACATGGAGAAGATTTGGCACCACACCTTCTACAACGAGCTGCGTGTCGCCCCCGAGGAGCACCCCGTCCTGCTCACCGAGGCTCCCATCAACCCCAAGTCCAACCGTGAGAAGATGACCCAGATTGTCTTCGAGACATTTAACGCCCCAGCTTTCTACGTCTCCATCCAGGCTGTTCTGTCTCTGTACGCCTCCGGTCGTACCACCGGTATCGTTCTGGACTCTGGTGATGGTGTCACTCACGTTGTCCCCATTTACGAGGGTTTCGCCCTTCCCCACGCCATTGCCCGTGTCGACATGGCTGGCCGTGATCTTACCGACTACCTCATGAAGATTCTTGCTGAGCGCGGTTACACTTTCTCTACCACCGCTGAGCGAGAAATCGTCCGTGACATCAAGGAGAAGCTTTGCTACGTCGCCCTCGACTTCGAGCAGGAGATCCAGACTGCTGCCCAGAGCTCCAGCCTGGAGAAGTCCTACGAGCTTCCCGATGGTCAGGTTATTACTATTGGTAACGAGCGATTCCGTGCTCCTGAGGCTCTCTTCCAGCCTTCCGTCCTTGGTCTTGAGAGCGGTGGTATCCATGTCACCACCTTCAACTCCATCATGAAGTGTGATGTCGATGTCCGAAAGGATCTTTACGGCAACATTGTCATGGTAAGTTTCGTGAGAATGGGCTGTCCGAATTTTTCTAACATTCATCCAGTCTGGTGGTACCACCATGTACCCTGGTCTCTCCGACCGTATGCAGAAGGAGATCACTGCCCTTGCTCCTTCTTCCATGAAGGTCAAGATCATTGCTCCTCCTGAGCGAAAGTACTCCGTTTGGATCGGTGGTTCCATTCTTGCTTCCCTGTCCACTTTCCAGCAAATGTGGATCTCCAAGCAGGAGTACGACGAGAGCGGTCCCTCAATCGTTCACCGCAAGTGCTTCTAAGGTATGTCAAGCTCCTGGTGATCGGGAGGCATCTTGCTAACTTACTAAGCTACCCGACCGACAAACCAAATCCTCCCACTCGCGCAACGACGACAAGATCATGGAGGTGACGACAGACGCTAAGCTTTGGGTGGTTGGCAAACGTCAAAGTCGACTCTCATATTTACGAAAAGTTTTTGACATGGTCAGAAGGGTGGGCGTTGCGCTTATGAAGAGATGTGATGGCCCCTTCTTGTAGTTGCGCGTGTAATGCGTGCCTAGGGGTAGAAGCCGAGGTTGACATACAAATACTTTTTTACTTTCCGCTTAGAATTTTTTGAAATGAAACGAGGTGATGACATGATACCTGGTCCCTTGCGTACATTAAGTATATCCACATACATGATATCGTAACTAAATCCTCGTAAGTGCTTCCATAGAGCACTGATCAGTGGGCTTTACTTGTGGTGTCAAGAGGTTGAGAAGTCTGGTAATTGTTTGCGTCGTCTGTGGTTAGGTCACGTCCCTCTGTTGAAGCGGGAAATGTGTCTGACTGCGCTTCAACTTCAGCAGCCGTATCGGCCCTCTCTTCCTCAAGTTTCTTGTACTTCCTACGACTCTTTTTCGAGGCACTTGCAGCTTTCTTTTGCTTTACCTTGCCGACAATAGCCGATCGACTCTGATCTCCATTGCGAAGTTCATCAACACGTTGCGCGAGTAATTCACGGGCGTGCTTCCGGTTCTGGTCTCTCGAACGGGTTGCCTGAGACTTGACGACGATGCCAGTGGGTACGTGCTTCAGCTGAACTGCGGAATTGGTTTTGTTCTATTGTAGCAACTATGTAAGTTGAAAGAATTTCTGAGGATTGAACAATAGCGGTGGTGTTAGAAAAGGGATATGCGCACAATCTTTTGTCCACCGGGGCCGCTGCCTTTGACATAGGACTCTTCAATCTCAGATTCAGGCGGGGGCTTCGGTCGAGGAGGGAGAGCTTTCACGAGGAAGATAGATGTATTGTGAAAGGTCCGTATTGGAAGTGCTGGGGGAGTGCTGTGGCGGATGGTTCGGATAAGTTTGAGAGGCGTCATTGCTATGCCATTTAATGCAGACATTCAACAAGAAACATCAGATGTTTTGTACCAAGCCCGTGAATCAGAGTCGTAATTCAGGTTATAAGATGAAGATTAAGCTGTGGACGAGGCTGATTCGGGCTTCCTGTGCCACGAGGAAGCCACAGTCACAGCCACGAGCCAGTCGCGTGCGCGTATCAGCAGCCACAGCGAGATGGTGATCCAGTAAATTAGAGACCCGCACCCCCTGTAAGTTTCAATACATCGAAGCCTTAGCACTCCCCTGCGGTGCCTCCGGTACTCAATTTTCGGGAGCGTCGGTACGATAAAGGCACAAGGAGCCCAGATAAAGGAGGGCCGGCCCTTCCCTGATCCTTATCCGTATCCTGATCCTGTATTCTCCATTGCCTCAACCTTTTCCCCTGAACCTACCACCTCAAGTCATTCATTTCAGCACACGACAATTCTACGACGACGGCTACCAATATCTGCGATTGAACCACATATTTTGACCCTTCATTTCGACACAATGGCCGTTCTTGGATCATTTCGCAAGTGGTTGAGCCTCAAGCAATATCAGCTCGAGGTCACTTTCAGTGTGTACATGTTCACGCCCTGGGAGAAGTTCTTTTTCAGTATGTTATCTGCAATCTTATTTGTTTTAAGTTGTTGCCTCCAGAAGACTAATCCACCGCTGTAGGCTCTATTGTTTTTCTGCTCTTTAGCTTGACCTTCATCGCCGCCTGTCTTTACCTCCCGCATCACATCTCTTTCCTAGTCGGTCGCGCCTGGTACTATATCAATGGAGAGCACATTGACGTTGTCGAGGTGGTGCAGGAAGCTGTTAAAGATATGTCTGCAAGCGCGTTATCCGGGACAACTGCAAGTGTCGTAGATGTTACAAAGGAGACTGTCGAGACGGTTGTGAGAGAACTATAAGATCCAGCACTGGATCGCTCACGCGGAAATTCTGGAAATGCATACATGCTGGACATTGGCACAGAAATGGCATCGTAACGAGAAGGCTCTGCATATATGAGTCGTAAGAGCCGGTCCTTAACCAAAGGTCCATGAGAGATGGCTCGAATTTCATCTGGGATACGATATAATGGATATGGATCTACAAAACTTTGGCCAATATATGGCTGTAATGATAATACACTGTTACTCGATAATTCCGCTGTTCATCCCACTGTTCGGTCTGTGCAAAGATGAGCAAGCCGCTGGTCTCGAGGTGAAGGAAATGGCTGGTAACGTCGTAATCATGACTTTTGGTTCTATGGATCTGCAGACACCTGAAGATACGCCTGGCTGAAGGCATATACTCTGAGTGAACTATCCTCTCCTGCAACTGCTACCTCAAATGGCCTCTCGGCCCCCTCTCGTACGATAGGACGCCATGCAAGCTGGTGAACAGCCTTGGGCAAACAGTAACTAGAGGTAACATTAGCAGTTGGTTTTTTTCTTCTTATATCGGTGGTTTACGAGCACTTACTTCTCATATACGGGCTTTTCCGTGACATCAGTACCATCCTCGTTGATCAGGCAAAGACTGAGTCGGCCAAGTTCTGTGCCAACTGCCAAGACAAATTTACTGTCAATAACCTTAGGGACAAAATCAACAGATGTTACAGGGGATGCAGTCGGGATGGAGGCTGTCTGAGAGAACTGAAGCTTCCCATCTTGGTTAGGCTTGGCGGCCCAGATGCGAACTTGCTTGTCACGACCAGCAGTTGCGAATACTGGCGCCGTAGATGGCGCAGGCGCCCACGCTGCGTCAAGTACCATACGTGTGTGGCCCTTGGGATTGATCTGCATGAGCTTGTACGCAGCCTCATCCTCAGGCGCGCGCTCAAAGACAGCCCATTGGCGATCGCGTCCTACACTCAGGAGGAACTGGTCGTCAGAGGAGAATCGAAGGCGGGTGGCTGTCAGAGAGTGTGCGGTCAAAGGCGGCCTGAGCTCAGTCCAGCGGTTTGTCTCAAATAGGCGAATTACGGCGTGGTTGGTCGAGCTGGCTTTGCAGGCACTGGCGACGAGAGTGCCATCGTGACTAGCTGCGAGACAAGAAATTTCGTAACCATGTCCATACAGCTTCTCGGTTTCCGGCCACAATGTATGTCTTGAGAGTGTCTCCTCGAAAGGAGGGTGATCAATCTCCAAATGCGACTTTTTGACTATCGAGGCCGGATCCATGGCCTCACGATCCCGGTCATCAATGGGCTGAATTTCTTGGTCGTCTTCCACGGCATCAATTGCCTTGTTAGATAGTCCCAGGACTGGCATGTTGGCGGCATCTGGCATGTTCTGAACGTCCATACCACCACCGATGCCTGCAAGGCGGTTGAGCATCGAGGCAACAGCTTTGGGTTCGCTAAAGACACGCATGAGTTTCTCATCGGCGCCTGAGACGAATTGAGAAGCTCCCACAGAGTCAATACAGTTGAGATCATAGCCGTGAATCTGAGGCCGGGACATTTCATGCCATGTCTCATTTCCTGGTTTATCCCAGCGTGTATGCAGTCGTGTGGTTTGGTCAGAGCTTGTTGACAAGAGATACTCACCATTCTTGGCCCACGTTATACCTGTAACAGCTCTTGTATGCCCAGAAATAGCAACACAGGGCTGCCAAAAGTCTTCCGCGGGGACATATTCCCATCGTCTCCAGCTGCCAGTACGGCCGAGGCAGGCTACTGATTTACCATCAGGAGACCACAAGCCCGTCCAAAACCCACCTGTGCTTCCAGTTGCTGTTGTTGCACCCTTCTCCCTGCTAATCTCACCAAGTCTTGCCATGCTGACCCAGATTCCAGAGCCAGAGTCAGCTTCCCAGATGGCGAGCGAGTTGTCGGCTGATGTCGAGAGGAGCTGTAGCTTGTTGTCATCCTGTCGTTGCCAGCGTGCACTGTATATCCAGTCCTCGTGGCCCAAAAGAAGTGCTTCGAAAGTAACAGAGAAGTCCTTGCCAGCGGACTGAAGACGATGTGCCTTGTTGGAGGGTGACTTTCCAGGGAGGTATGCGTCGCTGGAAGGGTCTGAACCACTGGCAGCAGCAGCGGGCAGCTCTCTCCCCTGATGGAATCTCCAGATACGGACGTATTTATCCTGGCTCGCTGATGCGAGTAACAGATCACTGTCAGGGGCACATGTCTCTTTGGCGAAGCTCAAGCTCCGTATCCAACCCTCGTGCCCCGTCAAAGTGGCTTGCACATTGAACTGAACATTTTCTGACTTGACCTCGGCTGTGAAAATCTGCACTATAGCTCTTGTGCCAGCAGATGCTAGCACCAAAACATCGTCTTCATCTCCGGCGTAGCTCAGTGATAGGCACATGGGGAAGTATTTGGGTGCCGTCTTGACGCTTTGGAGTAGAGTAAGCTGATCATTCTCGAGGTTCCATATTTTTATGGATGCATCTGCACTTCCAGTTGCGACAATCCATTTGTGGGCTCCCTTGATCCTCAAGGCAGCGATACAGTTGATAGCAGCAGTGTGCTCCGTTGAGGTGTGGATGGGCTTGAACTCATCACTATTTCGAGAAGCTTTCCAAATTATCACGCTCTTATCGTCTGAGCCAGAAACAAGAAACGAGTTTTCGTCCTGGTCCCCTTCGGGAAGAAACGTCAAGGCCTTGACAGTGCTCTTATGCCCGTTGAGCAGCTTTGTAACTCCCCTGGGAGATTCCGACTTCACAAATGTTAGTATCAAAACATCTAGATTGTCTGACAGAGTGAGGCGTAAAGCAGGGTATATTGACATTAAAGCAGCAAGGTGACTCGAATACTAACCAAAGGTCGCCATAACGCAATGTTGATATCGGCTCCAAAAGCCAAAATCCCACATTGACTCCAGTCCGCAACAGCGGTCTGTCGGTTGGCCCCCGAGGAGAGATATTCTATGGAGACGGGTCTTGAGCCCATTTTTGTCCCTATCTCGCCTTTCGTCGTCTCTGACGTGAAGTCGTTATTTTTAGAGGTTGTAGAGATGAGTCTGAAAAGTGTGTGCTTCTTGACTTCTGATTGGCTGTAGAGACGTCCTGCTGAGATTTTTGGGCTGGTTTGCTTATGTCATCAGACTCAAGCTTGCAGGTGGCTTCAAACACCACACAAGAAAAGCAATTAATGTCAACTGCTTCCACCAAAGGTCACGGGTTTGTTGTGACAGAGATACCAGTGGAAACATTCTCAGTCGCGATATCATTCTCTCTGTTTATTCACTCATCTCGTTCTCTCTACCGAACTGAACATCGAGCGTTTCCATTGTAAAAGGGTAATTCATAGTTAGCCTCTTACACTACATCTCTTTGATACCTTACCTAGACACAGTTTCACTACTGCCAACCACTACCTCGGGATCACCTTTTATCCACTGTTGCAAAAGCAAAGTCACGGTCAGTTGACAGCAGCAGCATCAGGATCACGCTCCCAGATCGTCATTTCGCTTCAACTTGCACATCTCTGTCACAATGGCTGAATCGACATCGGCCCCCAAGCTCAACATCGACGTCGAGTTCTCGTAAGTCACTTCTCTAAGATTTTCATCTTGCATTTATTATATGATCTATCAGCTCCCGCTTGCACGGTCTTGACTCAGAATCAGAATCAGACTCAGACTCGAGTCCACCCCCTTCTGCGCTATCAAGTTTTCTCCTCGCGGGAGTGTCCACCTGAACCACGCTTGTGCCTGAATCCTCGCTTCCGGCGAGTCTCTTCTCTGCACTCTCTTCGATTTCTTTGCTTTTTTTGGGCCATCCTGTTCACTGAGCTAACATTGTGGCACTGCAGTGGCGGCCTGGAGATGCTCTTCTCCAACAAGAGGCAGCATGCTCTGACCATTCCCGCGGCAGACCAGGACGGGAAACCCGTTGACATTGCGTATCTGATCGATCATCTATGTCAAAATGTCATGGATGATTCTCGCAAAGATCTTTTTGTTCTAGAAAACCACCTGTACGTCTTGGCCACTGTTTGCTCTCCCTCTCCGTTTATGTCTTCGTGTCGCTATACACACTCCCCTTGACCATGGCCGTGTTGGTTTGAACAACACTCCAATTCATCTCCTACCTCATTTGCATGTCTTTGTCGCTAATAGGGGTGGCAATCAGTCGACCAGGTATCCTGGTTCTGATCAATGATGCAGACTGGGAGCTCGAAGGCGAGGAGGCCTATGAGATCCAGAGCGGTGACAACATCTTGTTTGTCTCGACGCTACATGGAGGTTAGATTGCTGCACTCTTCGTCCGCTCTAGGCCTCAAAACATCACCGCAAGTTGGTCAGTGCAGTACCGGTACGGCTCCTATTGAAGAATTTCTACATGCATGCACATATACATACAAATCTACGCATTCCTACATATGCGTACAGAAAACACAACTCCCTTGCATATCGAATTGTTGAGAAATAGTCAAGGATATGGACAAGGCATGCATCGAGTGCATGCGCAGCCAAGTCCACAACAAGGCCAGTCTCGGGCTAACTTCAGGTTTCGACACGGCGGGACTGATACGCGAATGTTAGTTACTTGCTCCTTTGGGTCTCACTGTCTTGCCTTTGTTGTCTCCCGCCTCGCCTTGTCTGCGTATCTTGCCACTCCGATGAAACGACCGTCTTATGTGGACAATGAATGGATCACACTCGTCGCTTGCGCGTGTATCTGCGCCTACACTCCCCGTCTCAACCAGCCCTGCAACGGCTTTTAGAACCAACGTCTCCAGTCTCTGGTCTAGGCGCATCGATCTTAGTCCCAGCAGAAACCCATCTTGCATCTAAAGCACACACACACTACAAGGAACGTGCATTGTGTGCACAAGCAACATCAACGGCTTTGTGGAGGCGAAAAAGGAAAACCCACTTTGACTTGCATGCCTTGCATCTACAGCCCTCAAGACCAGCAAAGCCTCATTTCTCTACAACTTGGGGGGAAAATGAAATGGCGGACAAGGACACGACGGGCCGTGCCATTGCAACGTTATCTACGGCGGTGAAGGGAAGATCCCACCCAAAGTGCTCTGCCACATGGTTGAGATGCAGAGGTACGAAATGAGGCTTCATGTGCCTATGCACGAGAGTAGATCCATTTTCATGTGCGTTTTCTAGGCTCTTTGGAAGAAACTGGCCATCCAGGGGAGAGTGAGAGAAGAGAGTAGAGGCGGGGCGATGAATTTTAGGGGAGGGGGCTAAGCTGTCGATCAAAGCCAGAAAGAGAGGTATGCAGCCCTAATCTACATCAGTCTGCATTTCGTACGGATGCTAGAGGAGGAAAGAATACTCAGGACCTTAATCCTAAATGACAAAAAGACTTAGGCAACTTAGGAAAAGTTTAGGTTAACTTTACTAGCTTTAGGATATCTTTAGCTGAGTTTATTTTTGATACCCTACCTCTAGGTCTGAGTTTTCTTGCCCCTGGAGGGCATGCTACGTAGAACGAGCGTTACTGTAACTATGAGCCATGGATAAACCATTTATTGCTCTCTGTGATAGTTCAAAGTCCCTCAGATGTGGGTAGTCTATCTGAAGAAACCGAGAAACTTCAGGTCATGACTTGTAACTCGTCTCAATAGCAAACGGCATGTGCACCACCATCACATGAATTCACATGGTATCTTCACCTTTCATATTAACCCCTACAATATCGCTTGCATGCTGCCAATATGCATAGTCATTTGGTGCCTCACTCAGGTATGTATGTCCTGTTCCTCATAGACGTTTTCCCCCACAGTGAGCAGTGCCTCTCTTCATATGGACAACCGTCAACTGTAAGCGAGACAACATCAGCCATACTTTACCTGGACTCTCATCTCTCATCTCCATCTGAGCCCCTGACAACTCGATCTCGGCACCAGGATCATCATCCTCCATCGAGGCCTTACAGCTCGGCTCAGCTTTCGCCAGTTTCTATCGGATGACTTAGGCAGCATTACAGCCCCCAAGGTTCCTGATTTGGGGCATCCGTGTTTTGGTTTTCTTGTGATCACCCGCCTTCTTGATCAGCAGCCAGTGACTTAGACTAGAGAGTCCTTCTGAAGAATTCTGCCATCATGTGCCCCTACAATGCTTGGGTGACAGATTCCCAAAGCAATCGTCTTTGCCATGTACTCTTTTACTTGCCCCTTTCATTGCTGGCATTGAGGTGGTATGACCAGGACAGTTTAGTTCGGTTCTTTTGTTCCGGGCTGGAAAGGTCCAGAAAGACGCCGCAAACATTTGAGCCTACGATGGTAGATGCCAACAGGCATCCCCATCTCAGCAGTGATGTCTCGCACTGGTTTGTTTGTCTGCTTGCTTGTTTGTTTTTCGTGTCAGATGTGTCTTTGATCATAGTGAAAGGCTCTCGAAAGTTGTAAGAGTATGTTTGTTGAATTCAAATTATCTACTATCTTGACGCCAATGTCTCGATTTCGCCTCCCTGTGGCTACTTTCGACCTTTTTTTGCTCCCGTTTCATTGTTTCAGATGCTGCCATCTAATTGTGAGTCTAATAACTCGAAATTCAGTATACCAACCCTCGTAAAATGGTCTAATAACCCAGGGTATCTCCATTCATACAACTCCAGAAAGCAATTGAAGCCAGTGCGTACACTCGCGTATCGACAACAATAAAGCAAAAACAAAGAACTGATGAGACGAAAAACAAAAAAGAGACAAAACCTCTCTGGCAGATAAAACCGCATTTTTCTAGACCGCCATAAATCATGAACAAGCCACCCGCTCCCTTGCATCCTCTTACAAAGACCGCCAATTAATAGAATGATAAGCCAAGCTGTCCTTAAACGAAGGAAAGCGGAGAGGTTTCTGCAGAGCTTGATGCAGTTGGTATCAAAATAGCAAAAAGAGAAAGGTAAGGGTGAATCCCCTGCATCATTGTGTTCAGACAACCGCCCAAAGAAAATCAACCGCTTCGTTATGGCCTCTAGGAGAGTCCAGTTTTTCAACTCCTTCTAAAACACCCGCTTCTGTAAATTCTGCTTTTTTCTTGAAAAATGGAACCGCTGTTATGCCTCCCGTATGGTAGTACTGTTGTAATTTTGTGAAATGAAATAAGTGACGCTATCGAGTCATATCCAAGTTGTGCGGTATCTCCGTCTCATGGTATGAGTGATGAGTCCTCAATACATGCGCCCATGGTAGCCCATTTCACGCGTGTTACCGGTCTCATATAGCATGCCGTTGTTGTTCGGTGGCTGGATGTGGTGATGACCATGCATGTCATAAACCTCATAGCCGCCATTGTGAGTCTGGCGGGGCATGTGGTTGATAGGAGTGGGCTGGCCTCGAGTCACACTGTAGGAAGCGAGGCTGCCCGATACAGGGAGTCCGTGAGGAGTCACTGGTGTTGAGGCAATTTGAGGAAGAGGATATTGGGGCACAGCTGTCATGGTGTTGGCAGGAGGAGACCGGGATGCCTTGGTCTTACGGTCAGCAACCGTGCGAGCTTTTCCTCTTCCCTTGATCCCTTTGTTGCTGTTCTTGTAGTGCGTGGCGAAGTATTCAAAAAGCTCGCGATCGGCTTCGGTGACTTCCTCACCCGAGGCAATGATTTTGGCGAACTTCATTGTGAGCTTCTTGAGTGTCTTCTTGTGGAAGTTGTTTTGGTGTGTCTGACAACTGATTAGAACATTTTCTATTCCAGGGGCCATCAACACATACCTTCATGTTTCCAAGTTGTGAGAATGTCTTGTTACAATCGTCGAGAATGCAAACAAAGGGCTTGAGGCCTTGGTGAGTCTGTAGGTGGGCGCGAAGGTTGCCGCGTTGAGCAAAGTGGCGATCACACTTGTCGCAAGCAAAGGGGCGTTCGCCTGTGTGACGACGTCTATGAGTCTTGAGGTTGCCAAGTTGAGAGAAGGTCAGGTCGCAGCCAGGAAAGTCACAGTTCTGAAGGTATTAGTCAAAAGCAATGAGCGCGTGGATGTTCTCACTCACATATGGCTTGATGCCAGTGTGTGTCCGGCGATGAATGTCGAGATGAGTCTTTTGGGTGAAACTCTTCTGGCAATTGGGGCCATCACAGCGATATCTCTTTCGAGCTATCTTGTTGTCCATAGGGCCTGGTGTTCCCTGACTCTCAAAGCTTGCTTCGGAGACAGGAGACATCCCAGGAGTGAGTGGCTGCTGCACTGTATCGACTTGCGGGTCTGCCTTGCGTTGGATGGCTTTCATCAGCTCATCTACTTCTGTTTCGAAGCTGATCTGGTCACCAGGGTTGAGAGTTTCGTTGGAGGTGATGGTCTTTGAGCCCATAGATGGGTTGGTGCCCGAGGATCTGACAGTCGAGGCTTGTGAATCGCTCCGTGCTGGGGAAGGTGCTTGCTCGGCATATGTGTACTTCATCTCCCGTGAATAAGATGGAATTCGACCGTGGTCGTTATCATGTCCCATAGGTCGGCGGTCATTGTATTCTATTTTGAAAGGCGTTGAATGGTGGGGAGGCGTAGGCGGGCCTTGATATCCTCCAAATTGGTAAGGGTTGGGAACCTGGTAGTGAGGTGCCGTGAGGTTGTTCACTGGACCTGAACTGTAGGGAGGTTGAACCATGTAAGGTGCCATGAGAGGTCGTTGGAGAGGACCTGTAGTGGTGGCTCGAGAGTCAAAAGGAATCAGGTGTGGAGATTCCATCATAGTATAGTCGCCAGGAAGTTGTTGTGACCAACGCCCCCAGTTGGGAGCGTCTGACGATTGAGCTGTAAGGGCCATTTGCCAGTTCAGATCAGTCCTGCTCTCAAAGCAAGACTGATGATTTCAGTTGCTTGGACTGATTAAGACGGAGCAAGTCAAGAAAGACTTGGTGTTGGTTGAGATGATCAAGAAGGGCCGGAGCAGAATGTATGAAGGCGACAAGAGGGGGACCTGGACTATAATAGAAGAATAGATATGATGTAGAAAGAAGCGATTGTATAAGGATTTCAGGTCTTGGTATAGTTCTCTGTGAGACAGACTTGACTAGATGGCAAAGAAATTCAGAGGAAAGACCCAAGTATATATCCTCTGGCTTCAGAAGATAAGTTGATGTGCGACAAGGGTCAAAATAACTTGGAGCCAATAGAACGGCAGAGGTCGGAGATCCTCCTCAAGGCGGGTCTACCAAGTCTAGTACTCTATGTGACCAGGCCCTGGGATTGTAACAGAAAGTAGCCCGGGTCTCGTCATTAAGCTGGCCTGCGTCGTAGAGTGAGAACTTCAAACCCCTCCCCACGCGCGGGTACCAGGCATGGGCATGGGCTGGGGGTGGGTGGTCGATCTAGTCAGGGCGCCGCAAAGCCTGAGTGAGGATGGGGTTTCTGGGTCGAAAAGATGATCAAACGGAGGGGTGAGGAACAAGAGCTTGCTTTTGGGAGATGGACAAAAACTAATCCATGTCTAGCTCCTCTATCTAGACTGGACCCCAAGCAGTTGTCTCTATCATTTTGATATCTGAACCAGCCAGGTTCAGAGCCACAGTTGAGACATTAGTAGTGAGCAACAGCAAGGGGAAACAGACCCCCGGGAATTTTCATGGGAGAGAGCTGAGTTGATCTCTCTGTTTTCTCAATGCTAAATCGATCTCACTTGGCTCCGTCGATTTGGGCGGCCGCCAGGTCCATGAAAGCAAAATAGAGATTGGGCCTGAGCCTTTAATGTTCTCCTTTTAGAGTCTTTACTTGGGAACGAGCTAAAGCTATGCCTCAAGTCTGAAGGCGCGATTGAGGTTCAACTCAGTCAGCTTCAAGCCTGTATAACAAAGTCGTCTTCCTCATCTTGGGAGACTTGATGTCAAGTTTAAAGACGTGTGGGTGTGGCATTGGGATGCGGGATCTTGACAAGGGTCTTCTTGCGCTAAAAAGGACGCCGCTCCTGGGGAGGGCTTTGGAGTTTGGACAGGGGGTGGAGGGGTGTTCGTGGGCGTGTGTTCAGGAACAACCATGACTGAATTACTTCAAGGGATATCCCTGAACCCGGGGACATAATCTCGAATTTTTCATCCTCTCCGTCAAGGCCTCGCCCAGCCGGACGCCGCCGGTGTAGTGTTTGAGCTTCAGCGCGATACCCGGCTGCTGGAGCCGGTTGCTGGCATCGGCAGACATCAGTTACTGCTGCTGATGGATTATAGGATCTATTTAGAACTGTAACTGAGCTTGTGAGATTCTTCAGTGTGACAATTCTGGCGATGTTGGCTCTGACGTTTCTCAGCTGTGATAATTTAACCGCTAGTTGGGCTATGATACAGTCAAATCCGGTCTCCCACCGGATACAACGTTCAGGAAACTGTTATGAGTCTCGAGTTGCATCCACTGCCGGCTCATATTATAGGATCCGCAAGGCGGCTCCGTGTCTTCGAGCTGTGTTCTTCTTTCAAGTGCACAATGTGACGGCGGCTTCCGCTGCCAACAGGGCCTGTTGATTTGGACTGCTACTGCGGGCCCATTAATCCCGCTGCCCATCGTGAAGCGGTAAATTGAGGTTTTACTCGGGACCGTTTTGCAATCTCTTGGCCGTTGAGCTCTGTCGTACATCCCAGAAACTGGAGTCAGGTGAGGTGTGCAATTTTGTGCTATGCGGAGTTGTTCCGGGCGTGGAAAGAGACATCAACGAGCGCTGCTGCAGCTGTTTATGGTAAGGCTGGCCAACATCGAGTCCCTTGCGTATACCATACATGCCTACGCCGCATAGCCAGCTGTCGATGATGATGGATTGCCATTCAGTCGATTCCATCATCGTCATGAGGTGTCGTCTCCTCTACTCTTTAGAGAGTATCAAGGCGGGACGGCATGTGAAGCGCCTCTTCTGAGCACGTACAGTAGTGGCGCTGGATCAGTTGGCAGAGTTGGTTCCTGGAGACAAATGCGAACACAACGGTTAAACGTTCGTAGCAGCTTTGTTGGCTCCGTCAGACTTACGTTAGCACTTCAGAGACTCGGGGCTAGGCTGCTAGGGTAGCCGTTGTAAGACAATTGGGTCGAAACAGGACACGATTGTTGACTGTTGATATGAGCTTGAGTTGTGGGACCTGAATACTTACAACTGGCCCGTTATCTGTGATAATGTTCTCTCTTTCCTTACCCTAATAAGTTATACAGTAACGTTTTTGGTCCATTCCTGCTCTTGTGATGAAGGCTACATGGTTGTCGCTTTTTCCACGACACTGCACTACCCTACGGTTTGCTATAGATATGAGGAGGTGGAAGAAGTTGTTAACTACCATGGGTAGAGGAAGCTGACGGTTGTTATCACTTCTCATCCTCGTTATTACCTAGCCTCCAGGAGCAAGAAAACACCAGACCTTAATATAAAGTGTTAAAATAAACTTAGAAAAGAGTCCCCTAAATTTAGGCTAGATTTACCTAAATATTTTTGTTGCTTAGGGTCAAGGTCCTGTATTTTCTTTCCTCCCATAGCCTAGGTACCTAAGCCAGGTCAGGCGCCGGCAATCAAACAGAGGCCCCAAATCCCGGGACAGCCGCTGTTAATCCCTTCATGGGGACTCAAGATCCAGTTTAGCATCATAAATATATGCAAAAGAAGACCGATAGCCATGTTCCAAGGCGGAATACATTTGTTTTTCGCTAATCATTTACTCTGAGGCCACTGAGTGTTTTCTATTGTACTGCGTAGTCTACCAATCCACAAGACAAGCTGTGCTTTATTTACTATGTAACAGAGCCCTCCAGGCCAGGAACTGCATGCACGGCAGTTATTCTCCTATTTCATGTCCGGGCAATACCCGGCAGCACTGCACTCTTTTCCATAAAATACAGGGAACAGCACAGGCCAACTGTAATCTGGATGATTATGTACATATGTGTCCGTCCGTACATTTGTATCTTATTATTCAACGTCTACGAAATACCTTGCGAGTAGCACTCAGCACAGGAGATTTCTCACTCAAAGGACAGACAAATGTGCGAATGCTTCTCTCAGGTTTACCAGGGTGCAGATGCTCGCTTGAATCCTGTGATTTCAGGACCTGTAGCGAATCTGGAGGTGAAAGGCCGTGCGTCCAGGGTTGTTGTGTTGCGTTTGCACGCATTCACTGCGTACAAGCCGGGATAATGCTTCTTTCTTTTGTTCAATCACAACTCCGGAAGGTCGTTTCTCACTCACCATGATGCGAGCCAATCGAAAGAGCACCTTGAAACATTCAACATATTGCCCGCCAGTTCCCTCATTACTGTGCTACGTAATGCCTCCGTCGCGGGGTTTTTCATTATCAATGAGCACGTGCAGACGGAAAGATTGTATGTACCCTTTCGCATTGACCTTCACCCTAGACAGTTTTGAAATGCCATCGCGTAGCCCAAGCTTGGGTTGGCACCGGCCCGTTGTCCATCTCATCTTGTTGGTGAGAAAACACAGTAAGGTATCACCAACAATCACAGGCCTAGGACAAACCAAGGACCCCGCATGTTGTACTACAGAGTACAGTTCTACTTGATCACGATAATCTGAGTTTCACAGCAGCGATCGTATAGGTACTCCAACCTTAATTCTCTCCCTCCCGACCGTTGGCACCGTAGCCCAACGAGATTCTCAGAGGCAGGAAACAGCATCTGAACACACTGAGCCCCGACATGCTGATAATGCCTGGTCAAAGCGTCTCAGCCTTTCGACATTATCGAAATCACGGGACACAATCATGACAGTTATGAATGGTCATCCATATTAGCTCATAACGGTGTCCCTTAACGGAACGGTGTTGTTTTCTCGGCCGATGAGAAAACAGGGACACCAAGGCCAAGTGGACACCCCTGTCCTTCTCGCAAGGCCATCGGAGGGGGGTGTATGGCTTGAATCTATTTGGAGATAAAGCCACCCTCTGAGGTCACGGAAGAGAATATGATATATCATTTCACCACGACTCCTGAATGGACCATTGATGGACTTGGATCTCGCTGCATCAAAATCTCGATTTTCCTGCCTTGGACTCTGGAAGGGCTGAAGAATCTCGCAAAGTAACAGTAGAACAGGAAAAAGTAGCGCAGAACTGAGCCATCGGTCTATCGTGGTCTCCCAATATGGACGCTCAAACCCTAGTGAGCTGCGCTTGAGTGAGGCACGGCATCTCAGGTCAATCGTGGGGGTTGTTACGTTGCTTTCGCAACAAGACAAAAGTTGGTAGACTCCAACATCGTGAGCCATTCAGTTTGCCATGACGGCGGGGCAGCACACCAGGTCATGTGTAGCTGCTATTTCGACGACTTGGTAGCCTTGTTGTAGGCCAATCCAATCCAGTTTGTGGTTGTTTGAGTAGACGATTGGCAATGAGCCGTAGGAGACTCGATTCCTATACTCGATTCCTCTGTACTCAACGCCTGGTAATACACTCAACCTTAACCTTACCTAGCTATTTGGCTGCCGGGCTTGTCTTGTTTGATACCTGCCATAAGGGAGTAGAGTAGTGGCGATACCCAGTGAGTTACTATTGCCATATCTGGGGAAGCTTGAGAGGAAGAGCCTTTGGAAGTTGAAACCAACTAGGGTTCAAGCAAGCGTGTTTTACGAGGGGAGGGTCAGGAGTCAGGAACAGTTGCAACACAGCAGGGGCAACAACACTGCGCTACGCAGGCGCCGTTCACCTCTGACTACCGCGAGCCCTTCATCAACAAGTTCTAATAGTCGATTGACATATCACATCGGTGCGGTCA